AATGTAATAACGTGGTTAGCCTACTCAACGTAAATTACACACGAACAACATTAAGCTACTCACGCAGAGAAGAACGGCTGCTGCTGCATCATCATCCTCATCATTTCTGCTACACTGGCAGGGCTAGGGGCCAGGACTCTCCTCTTCGGGTTTTCTCTGGCAGCGGCTCTATTCCCATGTTGTTGCAGTATATTAATGACTAACCTCGTATTGTGGATGGATTATCTCAGTTGTTCTCCTGACTGAAGTTTGGTCCGTTTACAGCATCCTGCCATGCGATTGCATTTGTCTCTAACCATGAAGAACCTTCACGTTAACTTTTATAAGTGGAAAAGTGTTAGTGTTCGTCCTCCAGCTTCACTGTTTATGTTATGCTAACATAGCTGTGTCGCTAGCGATCACGTAGCACATCATTATATACCAGCTAGCCCAACTTCAGTAACCCTACAAACGTCACTGCTGTTTAGTTTCCTGTCTTCATTTATGTTGGAAGTGATAGCAGAGCTGTACGTTTGATTTTTTTCAGAAATCTCTCAGTCAGAACATGCTATATCATGCTTAGGTAACTAGCGAAACTAGCGAGCTAACTTCCGCTAGCTTCCTGCTAACTTCTAACTCCGTTAAATGTAATAACTTTTGTTTTCATGGATGCCTGGAAGTTAAACTTTATAGTTACACCTGGTAAAGCAGCAATGCTGATCGTTTTATTAAAGATGAAAGAATTTAGACAGTTTTTAACTCTAAGTGATGCTGCAGTGTTGTTTGACCTGAAGCATACGGAGTTTAGGACCCAGATTACTCCCAGATTTAAGAGCATCTTAGTCCGACAAATACGACAATAACGACGGCCGCTTGCATGTTCTGCAAAAAAATGTGCTTTGTTGTGTATCTGACGGACAAACACCAAACCAGTTCCACATCACTGAAGTTGCACCATTTTTACAAACCAATTCTGGTTCATCTGTTTCACTCAACAATCGGCCATGTGCGTATGAAAACAAAGGCACTGCGCATGCGCGTTTTACTCCCATTCTATCGCGATATTTCATTTTCCTATCGTTGCCTAACATTATACCGGTATTACCGTGAACGGTATAATATGGCCCAGCCCTAATGCGTCGGAGGATGAGGAGGTCGACTCCATTTCTCCACTGGTTCCCTCTTCCAGAAGGAAACGTCGCCCTCGCCAATCCTCTCCTCAGCCCTTTTCCGTGATTACACAGCAATTCGCAGTGGTGAGTCACGAGAGCGCTTTTCCTGTTTCTGCTACTGTTACTGTTCTGGCTCTTGACAAAGGCGGTCGCACTTTTCTCCTCTCCTCCTCTCCCTTAGCTTCCCTGCTTAGCCTCTTGTGTCCTTGTCTAGTCTCGTGTTTTTTGTATTACTTTTCCCTGGAACACTCTCTCACAGTCTGTTCTCTAAAACCTAAAAGAGGAATTATGGATTTGATCAACTGGTCCCTGAATGCAATTGACACCCTTTTCTCAACGAGAAGTCTGGGCTCGGGTGAGCCTGAGTGCCCTGGAGGTACTTTCCCTGCCGGATACACGATGGACGGGTGGTATAACTGGAGGATCGTGTGCCTGGCGGGACTGTCGATCGAGGACCCTGAAGATATCTACCTATTCGGAACCATGATAACAGGGTTCTTGCTGATTGGAGCTGGCTTGGCCCTGACTTATCGAAGAATTAAGAAAGCGGAATCGGCTGTTCAAACCCCCACAAGGGGTCTGGTGTCTGCTCCCTCCTCTGTAAGACACAGAAAAGGAAAACACTTCCCTGCCTAGCCTTGATAATCTAATGTTATTAGCCATTGTTCTTCTAGTGATTCAAAGTTGATTTAGAATATCATGTTCAGGCACTCTTGACCCAGACTTATTCTAACCATAATCTATGTGTGTAAGCATGTTTGCAACCCCTCTGCACTCTAAGTCATTCCTACAATATATCAGTCCGGACAGTCACGCGAACAAGCTTCTGACCTTCAAAAGACTGAGTGCCAACTCATTATGAGCACATTTGCATGTGTGTATGAAAATGATTATAATTATATATCTTTATATTACTAATATATTTAAGATTATTTAAAACATAAAATATATATTTTATAACATTAAATATAAAGAGTCAAATGGAAGTTTTTCTAAAGTTATTTAATGATATTTATATTATGAAAAGCAGATTTTTGACATTTTAAGTTTTTCACTTTTTAAAATAAAATAAACACACACAAAACAAAAGCAATCAACAAGAACACAAAGCTGGCAAACACACCGGATTGACCAAAATCAACTCAAAATACTCCCACACAAAGGAACCTCCTCTCTTCCTCGCTGGCTCCCTGTTTCTCAATAGAATGATCCATGGTTAGCTATCTCTCACCATCAAAACACTCGACAAATCCTCCGAATGATTCACTTCCTTATGAACCACTGAATCAGGTGCCAAAGCATTATCGTTCCAAATGAAGCTTGGACGCCACTGATCACGTGACTCTGGCCAAACGAATGAAGCCTCGACACAGTGTTTCTGAAACAGTGTGCTGGTTTTTATGACACTCTCGCCAGAGCGTCAGCTTCAAGCAGGCCATCACTAGTTCAATCCATCATCCAAAAATGGAAAAAGTATGCCACATGCAATTTGGCAGGAGCCATGTAGGGGACACAGCAATCAGGTGGAAGATGTTCTGGTAAGACAAGAACAGAGTTGAGCTTTTGAGCCTAAATGCCAAGCGCTACATGAGGCGGGAAAGTAACACTGCTCATCACCCTGAACACACAATTCCCACTGTGAAACATGGTGTGGAAATATAAAGAATATTAATGTGTTAAAATGGCCCATTAAAAGTCCAGAAATCCCACTGAGCATCTGTGGCAAGACTCGAAAATTGCTATTCACAGACGCTCTGCATCCAATCTGGCTGAGCTTGAGCTATTTTGCAACAAAAAATAGGCAAAAACTTTGGTCTCTACATTTGCAACGCTGGTAGAGACATACCCCAAAAGACTTGCAGCTGTAATTGCAGTGAAAATATTGATGCAGGGGGATCTGAGTGCAATTGCATGCCACACTTTTCAAATTTTCATTTGCTTAAAATTTTGAAAACCATGTATCATTTTTGTACCACTTCACAATTTTGTGCTCTTTGTGTTGGTTTGTCACAGAAAACCTCAATAAAAAACATCAAAGTTTGTGGATGTAAGGTGACAAAATGTGTCAAAGTTCAAGGGGTATGAATACTTTTTCAAGACACTGTATATGCGCCATATGATGTGATGAAGAGTAACACTTTGACTGAGGAAGCACTAACACGTATGTTTTTATTGATTAATAACAAAGATGTATAGTAACCAGTCCAATGATAGCCATAGATATTCAAAGCAAAAATGATGAGGAAAGAGGAGCACACATCAACAGTAACACTTTCTGTGAATCACACTCTAACATATAAAAAGAAAAGCTGCTGTAAAGCTGCACGACTGAACAACAATCCAAAGATTCATCATTCAAAGTCTGTTTTATGTCTGTTTTCTCTTAAAGCTC